CGATAGATTTTATATTTATTTATACATTAAACAATGCTGTATGCGATTATAAATATGCATTTATGTATTTATAATTAAAAACTTTTTATAATTTATTTTAATGAATAATTTATTATTAATGAAAATTTACAATAGACTTAAAAAATAGGGCATAATAAATAAATTCATATATTACTTTAAATAAATTGATAATTTTGTGAAATACTTACAGTGGGAGGAGGCATCATCTACGCGTACGCTCCTTTCTAGAAACTGGTTACTCTCAGGATGATGAGAAACACTTTGTTGTTTCACATCCAGCATGTCTTCATCACTACTTATGCTTATACCACGACTAGTAATTTCACTTCGAATACTTGGATTATCAATATTACTATTTTCTATACCATTACCTTTCTGAAATTTTTAATACAATTTACAATATTAATGTATAATATATCTAAGTCAGTAAAAAATTTTAATAAATATGCTTTTATAAATCTCTAAAGGTATTTATTATGTTTAAAAGTCCAAACTTGCCTGAATTTCGTATTATTTTGCTGTTTCGAAGATTTAATAATGATTAAATTTAAAAACGATAAAATAATATAAAACTTAAAAATAAAGAAGATGCAAATATAAAAGAACAAACAATAGTGATTTTGAAAAATAAAATTTTTAAATGTACATTTCTAGGAAGAAAGTTTAGTGACAATGATGATTCTTTGACATAAATGAAAATATTTTAATAGTTTATCTGTACATTATTAATTATCACAAAAGTAATCTGGAATGTATTAATAAAATTGATATAAGATAGATGATGGCTTTACTTTTTACTGAAATTTCATTACATTTATATTCAGTTTTATAAAATAATAGCTAATGTTGGATGTTTAAAAGTACAAGAGTCTAAATATAAATTTTCATTCTTCACTAATATTTTTCCTTGGAAAAAAGAAAAACTATTGCAACTTACCTTTGCATCAACCGAGTTATAGGTTGTAAGTGGGCTATTTGGTTTGTTCAATGAAGTAGATGTTGAAGTACCCTTTAATGGAAATTTCTCCATGGCATCATATTCATCTGTTTTATACATAAACACACATGCTCGTGTTACTTACATTTATTCCACATAGTATAGAAGTAATCATCAGAGGTTTATAGTTAAAGTCAATGACAATTTTACAATGCAAAAAGAATATATAAATGTGTGATTTAAAAATAATAAATAGGTATATTATTAATGTTTATACCCGTTGAATGATTATTTCTTAATTATTATTTATCCTATGACAATGATTGTTTTGCAAGCCTTACCTTTGCCTTCATAAAAATTTCAGCATATATCGCAATATTGACTTGTGCCGATATTATTAATAAAAGAGATTGCGTAAAAAATGTGAATAATTAATAAAAAATATTCTCATGCTAATGTACAAACAGATATTAAATAAATGGTGATTTATATTAAATGACTCACGTACTTGGTAATTCCTCATACAAAGTAGTAGCTCTGGTTACAGCACATCACTACATTTAATTTATTAATTAAATATTATTACTTGCTTGTGTATTGTTTTTAATCACAAAAAAAAACTACTATTCACATAATTATATTTACATGACTGTATCCCATGCACATATTTTAGAATTTTTCCAATAAAAGGAAAGAATTCTATCGGTATAAAAATATCATTTATCCATTTGCGCTAAGCAACTAACTTAAGAATTCGAGAAAACATAAATAAAAATAAATAATGCTTTGCATAAAAGAAAACTGTATTATGTGTTATTTAGTGCATGTAATAAAAAGATTTTGCGTGACGTTTCAAACTGTGTAATAGACAGACGTAGACGTCTCTCGTTCTCACTCTCTTTGTCTTACCATTTCCTAATTCCGCATTTGAGCTTATAACTTTATTTTTTATGAAGTTCTATGATGTAAAGCTACTATAAACTATTGAAAGACGATCCAAGGACGATAATTTATGGATTTATAACGAGGAAGATATTATTATCGCGTAAATCCGTTGTCGTCCATAACCATGAAACACCCACAAACAATCATCTGATTCCATCAATATTGCGCAAGTATCCTTTTCCAATTTTCCATTGAATTTGTACTTTAAGCTTAGTTCACATTTTTCAATGAACAAATTTGTCTCATTCCAAAAACGTTTAATGAACACATTGATTTCACTGGACACTAAGTAGTTGTAAAGCAACTTATCGATTGAATTATAACGAAAAATCTTTGTTACAAATTTTAATCTTTTAATATATTTATTGAACCATGTTGCACGTGTATATATATAACTGCTTGTAATTTTAGTTATAAAATTAAACATATAATCGGTAAGTTAATACGGTGTCATTCATAATTATATTAACTATATGAATCGATATAATGACGATATACAGTTCATAATTCTGCGTTACTGGAATCTAAATTTGTATTTTTTGATAAAGGTATTTGCCAGATCGGAATAATGTTGAAAATTAATTTTAATGTAATTCTCGATTCGGTTTAAATTTGTTAGAGCTTAAATATTTAGAGTAAAATCAAATGGACACTATGATTAAAGAACTATTTTCATAAATGATAATTTGATAGATTTTAAAGATTTAATGATTTGACAAGTTAAAGACTAGTTTAACCAAATACAAATACACATTATTAATTGAAATAAAACAAAATAAACAGGCAATTAAATCTATTTAATCGAGAATTCACCAGTATTTAAAAAAATAAAAGAAATAATATTCCAGTAATTGTGCTTACTATAGGCATAGTTTGTGTAGACACACAAACATAAAGCATTAATCATGCAATGACTTTATTAAATATATCAATAATTTAATCAAATCACATCATTTACGTTAATGTAGATTTATTTTAAATTATAAAATATTCTTGAATTTGTATTTATCCCTTTATGTATAACAATTAATTAGAAATTAATAAATGCAATGTCAAGATATCTTTTTTTTAATTATGTCATAAATTTTGTATTTTAGTTATAACATGAACGAAGATGAATTTAAGTCTTATTTTATAAAGAAAAAAAGATGGACTGAAAATGAGAAACGAATCTTATTAAAAGGTCTTAAAAAATATGGATCTAAAAACGTTCAAAAATTGAAGCCGCTTTTACCAAATAAATCTACAAATTCAATTTTGCAAATGATTAGAAAATATCAAACGATTGCAGATCTAGGGAAAAAAGATGTAAATTCTCCGTTAGATGTATGGTTAAGAAGTGGCATTTTTAGTGGAGAAAATATTCTTATCTCTGAAGCTTTGTTGTTTATACATTTATTTGAAAAACACCCACCTCCAGAAGAAACTGCTGGCTTTGATATTAAGTAAATAACTAATGTATAAGTAATTTAGAAATTATAGAATGCAAGTATTTTTCATTTTAACTACAAATTTATTCTATAGTATTTTAATGTATAATAACTATATTTAATTTATGAACGCTCTATTCTACAATAATATATATTGCATGTAATGGTATTATTATATAAATATTTGATAATTGTATTATTTTTATTTTCAAATATTAGAGAGACATATAAATTTCTGTATGAAGCAACAAAAGGACAGCCAATAACCAATTTATCACGAAAAACGACAGAAATGTTTAAACAATTAATACTTACAGTAGATAAAGAAATTTGGCCTGCAGACGAATGTAATACAACAGACTATTTAATTGGTAAATTATGTACAATTGAACCAGAAAAATGTTATAAAAGAAAAAAAGCAAATTAACAATTTAAAATTTCAGTATTATGTATATATAATGTCTAATTTAATTATTTTTTATGAAATACTTATAAATTGTTTTAAAACATTTTAAAGCGTATGAATTAATTTCTTTTTACTTATAATTAAACAATTTGTAAAAAGTACTAAAGGATTATAAATTAATATGAAATTTTAATGGAAATAAATCTCTTTATAGTTATATTTTACATACAACTTGTTACAAGCAACAATTTACTATGTTTACATATTTTTATGAGATACATGATATTTAATATTTCAACAATATTAAAAAAAATTTACATTGTATTTTAAACAATACAATATCGTAACCTTTTAACATAATTTTTCTTAAGCACATACTTTAAGTAAAAAATAATGTCATTTAACTATAAATAAAATACCACAAAATATTACACATAATTTGTATTATTACAAATATCAAATTTTCCGAAGTATTCCATTGTTTTACAAAACAGATCAATTTGTTTTATATATAATTAGTTATATGTTTATGTACATTTGCATGTTTGTGCAATAAAATATACAAAATTATTGAATGAATATAGATTATTTTCATCTCATATTATATAATTACATTTATAATCATAATAATACTAACGTAAATTTATATAATAGTTTTTAGAAATATTTTTAAAATAAACATTTTTACTTATTTATTATTGCACATAAAGAATGAGATGTATTCATATATTTTAATTAAAAAGAAGAATTTTTAATCACCTCTAATAATGTAACCTGCTCAGAATTAAGAATATAAATAAATAAGCAATGAAATTACTTTCTTTATAGCTATTAAATTCTTATAAGAAATTTATTAAACTTTAAATGCTAATTATTATTTAATATTAATCTTTCAATATTTCCCATGCATCATCTTCAAGCTTAGAATTCCAATTAGAGCTTGTTTTACTTGATTCACAATTAATTAAAGATTCCTCTTTTCCCTTTTTATCTTTTAATTTTTTTACAGTTGATTTATCAGTATCTGGTTCTTTCAATCCAGAACTTGCATTCCAGTCCCAATCAACAGAAGATAAATTCGGAGTTGTTGCACCAGATTTACTAAAAAATTATATACATTATTAGAATTTGCAAAAACCGCTTTGAATTTAATAACTATTATTTGATTACTTTTGATTTGAGTTCATTACTAATGATGACTTTTCATCAGAACATTTGCGATGATCATTATTACTTTGATAAGAAGTAGTTGAATCTTGATAGTTACCATGTGAATTATAGTAACTTTGTTCTGTAGAATTGGTTCCGCTAATATCGCCCCAACTTCGCCTTCCAAGGTCACCAACCTGTTATAAATAAATGATAAATCAATTAATTTACTATAATACTTACAACTATGTTATAAAAGTCGATTAATATATATTTTAATTATTGAACGTTGTACGAATATAGGCATGAAATAATGTATCATTAAAAGCTAATTTCTACCTTAGCCGCTAAACTATTGACTTGACCTCCTACTTCTTCCAAAAGTGTACCTTCTCGTACCTAATAAAATTCAAATAAAAATAAAAGCAAAACTGAATATAAAAGAAAATTGAATAAAATAATCATAGCAAGAAAAAAATAATAATAATAAAAACGAATAAATAAAAATAAACAAAAACACACCTTTTCACTAACGGAAATTGATATCTCTGATACCTTTTGTGTGGCCATTTCTCCAATTTTAATGGCATTTTCCGTTGCTTTACTGGCTATTTTAGTAGCTGATGAAGAAAGTAACGACCAACCCTATCATAAAATATGTTATTTAATTAATAACCATAAATTTTATATTTATTTAAATAAATATTTAATCTTACACTTGCAAGAGATGATAACGCAGTATCAACAAATTCTTGAGACGAGCTTTTTGGTACTGGAGTCATTTGATATCCAAATCCTCCGTACTTTCCGCCTTGGCTCGGTGGAATATTACTAAAAAATCATGAACAATTAAGAAAAGAATGTAATTAAAATAATATAAAAATAACCATAAATCTTACTCTGGACGAGTTGCATTTTCATTTTGCTTTCTAGTAAAGAAAGTTTCTGTTTGAGCTTTAAAATCTGAAGAATTAATATTTTGATACAGCGAAGTAGAATCATTCTGATATGAACTACTATACTCTTTTTTGTTATCGACATAAGAAGCGAAATCTTTAGCACTTGAATCCTTAGGGCTCCAAGATTCACCATGAGCTAATGTATTTATCTATATGTGGCATTATAAATAATATAATTATAAAAATAATTGGTCAAAATAATTTAATAAATTGTATTCTATTTACCTTATCTCTATATAAAGCTGCTGCTTTAGTGTTATATTTTTGGTTAATTGCCATGCAATCGTCCCAATCGGGTTGTGTTTCAAAGAATAAACGAGCTTCTCTATTTCCTCCAACTTTCATTTTTTCAAGCTCAATGTCTTTCCATTTATCCATAGAAATAGAGCGAACAAATGACAAATGTACACCGAGTCCTCTGTGTTTTCCTGAGCATTCCAAGCATATCCAGATTCCGTATGTAACCGATACCCATTGTGGGTTATGAGCGCCGCACTCAAAACATTTCTAAGTTGAATAAAACATCGCATTTTTATGGTTAATTTTAAAATGAACTCCACACAATTAACATATTTATATTTTACTTACATTATTTTCATCGTGAGGTTTTAAATTACCTAAGACTCGACGGGTTCGCGGACTAGCCATTTTCTTCGAATTTTCCAGTTTTTCCAATCTTTTTCACAAAGAGAATTGTCTAGGTTTTAATAAGTACTAAAGCGTAATACATGAAGCAAATGAGCAAAAATTAAACGTAAAGAATATCAAAAAGAAAATTATGATCTCCGTGATAAAACTTTTTCCATCTGGAAGCTGTAGAACAAACTACATGGACTGCCACGCGAAATGTCTTTTGTGCTTAGTGCATTAACCTCGCTATTGGTATTATGTCTGAACTATGCTATATCATTCTACAAAAAGGAACTATTCATCAATTATTGCCAATTTAAGTTTTTGTTTAAAGACATATCGACTTATTCTACATAAAATCGTAGTTTTTGAACTCGTTGAAAGATGTTCTTCTAAAAATCGATTAAATCCCGTTTAACAAATGAGAATCTATCTAAAATAATTATATTTTCGAACGAATTATTATTTGCAACTGTAAATGAAGTTTGTAGCAAATATCGGACTTTAAATTCGAATCTGTGTTTAATTTAATTTTCGTTGAAAATATATTAATATTAACTCAAATAAAAATTTATAATTAATATTTAATAATTATATTTAATAAATACGGATAGCGTATTATAAGTCTCGGATAATGAAAAAATTTAACAATCAATAGATAATTGCATAAATTCATATTGATGTATTCGTATGTTGCAGAAAGAAAAAAAAATTAAATTTTAAATTATAGGGATGATTTATTCATACCAGAATCGATGCATATGTAGAATTTTATCGTTAAGTCTCATCCTCTTTATTCGTGAACAAAGTAAAGATTTCGTTCGTGGTAATCAGCAACAGTTGCGAATGACTTTAAAAGAACTATGATAAATCCCTACCATATCGATCGGTTGTGAATTGATAGAAGTAAATTGCTTTAATGCGAGCAAAGATTAACGAGTGCAAATAATTGATAATGGAATGTAAAAGGGCAGGCTTGCACAAAGGCAAAGATGTATCTTAAACGATGGTTTCAAGAGGTCGGGGCGCTAAAGATTTCAAAGCGTCAGAGCTAATGAACAAGAGCGAGGATTCAAAAGGATCAGGCAAAAATAAAATGGCGCTAATCCCTTTGAAAAAAGCAGAGCTCTGCGCAGGTCGAACAGTTAGTTATTATTGGTGGCCGTCTCTCGGAAGCATTTTAACGAGCACCTGAGCCAGCCACTGACCGTCTCTGTCGCGCCATCTCTCTTCTTATACTCTCAGCGCAACGAGGCCTCAAAACCCCACCCATCGTCCCGTGACAAATGCAACTTTTACTTCCGGCTGAGTTCGGCCTCAGCGCGAGAGGTGATTTTTTGGGCTGAGTAGTGTGTCCCGCTCGTGTCACTCAGTGGCCAGTGCCTCTGCGCGTGTTGTCCTTGGTAGTTAATTCCCTGCGGTTGTGCGTCCGTTCTTCGCTTTCGCCAAACTTTCCCCGTTCAACCATCGTTGCGCGCTTGCTCCATCGTTTACAAGCGCACGCACGAACGAACGACGCACGTACGCACGCACGCACGCACGCACGCACGTACACACGAACGCACGAACGACGCACGCACGCACACAACCGTAAACAAACACTCGAACTCGAAACTATCTCGCTCTCCGAATAATCTCTCTGTTGCTTCGACGACGGCTCGCACAAGCAGCGTAATTTGCAATTTGCAGTTGTATATCTTCGAGGGATACCTTTTGTTTGTCGTATGTCCATCCAGAATCTCAACACATTCGGTAAGCCATTTTACTTTTTTATTTTTTTTGCATGTATATATACATATATATATATATATATATTTTTTTTTTTTTGTTTGTCATATTACAAGCATTAATAATCCATTAAGCATCGAATATTTGAATGAAACGTCTCTATTGAATTTAAGAGGTAAAAAAAAGGTGATTGGCATCGAAAGGTGAAATGAAAAGACGCGAGTCGAGTCGAGCTAGAGAAGTTTGTGCTTCGTCTCGAGGACACGCGAGTGTTTCTCATGTCAAAATGGCGGTGGCGTCTTCTCTCATGCCTGGCACAAGGCAATCGCGTCGTCGTCGTGGCTTTCCAGTGTCCTAATGTTTCATCATTTTTTTCACTTTTCAACATTATCGCAATTGCCTCACTTTTATTACGTTATGGATCCTTTCACAAGTTTACCGTTAGTCGTGTACTCTTCATTAATTTTAAAGTTATCTACCATGTTGGATTGATTATTATTGTGAAACAGTATTAATTTACGCCCTTTTTTTTTACATTTTTTTGCAGACCCCTTTGCAGATGCAATCAAGGGTTCAGACGATGATGTCCAAGACGGCCTTGTGCATATAAGGATCCAGCAGCGGAATGGTCGCAAGACCTTAACAACGGTGCAAGGTCTCTCGTCTGAATATGACTTGAAGAAAATTGTTCGAGCATGTAAAAAGGTAAAATTATTCATCATTACAATATTATTTTATTTCATATTGACTTTTATTTATGTAAGAAATTTGAATTCTTCTTATTATTCCACTATTGCTACTAAAAATAAATAAGATAATAAAGTATATTATATTTTATTGGGAAGAAATATACGTATTATTTTATGTAAATATACGACATATATATTTTTTATGTCCTTGCTCTCTTCCAACCAATAAGCTTCATTGTATCTGATATTGCTTGAAATTAGATTTTGTAACTGCTTCTCTATATTTATACCTTAACACTAATTTATTTTACTATTTTATCATCCTTAACTTTATGAATATCTAATTATTTTTTTTATTAAAATGATCTGGTTCATTATTAATATAATTGTTTTGTATTTTGATGTATACTTTAATATCATATCTTATTTCATTTAAATGTTTAAATTGAAAAGTATTTTTCAAATTAAAGATGTCTTTCAATTATAGGAGTTTGCCTGCAATGGGACTGTAATCGAGCACCCAGAGTACGGGGAGGTGTTGCAGTTGCAAGGGGATCAGCGAGAAAATATATGCCAGTGGTTAACAAAATCAGGTCTGGCGAAACCTGACCAACTGAAAGTTCACGGTTTCTAATTGATAAACAGACAACCAAGGAAACACCCATGCCACTACCATTCAAACCAACTCCACCTTTATCGATACTTAATCGTCTCAAATTCTCTGTATCAGTCATTAGTACTCGTTGATACTACTTGTGGAATAACCTCCATCTCATTATAAACGCATATATACTTGAATAAACAAACAAAAAAAAAAAAAATATACAATATTGATATAAAAATAGGCACAATACTATTTTAAACAGGCAGCAGTTTTGTAAGGATTATAGGAAAGCAATATTTTACAGCGTTATGTTAGATAAACTGACGTGGACGACGAAGACTACAAAGACGATTTTGTCACATTTTGTGTAACAGCGATAAACGTAACTAGGCATTTTTCAGAGAATACGTAAACGAGCGATAAACACTGTTAGTGACGAATGGATCTTCATTTTGATATTAGATAATATGTATCTGGGCGCAATAGATGTGTTCAGAGAGATTTAAAAGTAATATCTTAGGGCTCAGATTGGCTTTTTCTTCTGTAATTAATTTTTTTTTAAAGATTCCATGAAAAATGTTTTAATTTTCACATATGATAGGTAAAAGACGAAATATGTAGTTTTTGCGCTTAATGATCACAATGTTGAACAATGATGTATGTTTTCTCAACTTTTGTGCCTTTAAGTCAGCATCGATTTAGATGTATTATTTGTGAAAATGCGACAAGGTTTTTTTCCTATGTAATATTGCGATGCGACTTTCCAATTTTTCTTTTTGTAATAACCAGTATTGATGACTCAGAATTGTTTATTTCTCTTTTTCAAGTGAAAAATGTGGCTGTTCTAGATTAATAAATGGCAATTCACCAGTTTCACGTAGATGGTTTTTTCCCTTACAAATTTAATTTTTATCTAAAAAAATCTCTTAGATGTACCACAAGAATGAATGAAACTCATGAATAAAAAGTTTTTCTGCGTTGTAATTTTGTGTTCAATGTTTAATATCCCAACCTACGTTAATAGTGTTTATTCAATTTGAACTATCGACTCAAGTTCGTGAACATTCTTAAAAATCGAAATCGTTAATACTTCATAATTAAGAGACGAATCATAAAATGTGTATGTGTAAAACATGTATTATTATCAATGGAAATAAAATTTTTAAATATGGGAAGTACATTTACTTGTTGCGAGACCAAAAAGTAATTCAGTACGTCAGAGAAACGATGACGTCGACAAACCAAAGCCAAGAGCAAGCAGCTCCAGTGTACGTAAAGGAACATGAGAGAGGAAAATCTGTCTCGCAGGTGCTTCCTTAAATTTATAGATGCATGCATATCTATAAACGTCTATATATGAGAATGTATATATACAAACGTCTGTATATACACATGCACAAATAGATGTAAGTATATACATATCGAGCAGCTTATGCATAGTCAAAAGACTTTCTCTGCGTGCAATATCTATCGACTATATATACGCATCCGCATATATATATATATATATATTTATGATGTCGGAAATCATCTATTTTTGCCACTTTTTATATTTATATTAATTTATTTATACATTTAATTTTTTTAACAATTATTCATAGTAAGCATTGGATTGTTCCTGCAAATTATATAATAAGAAAATAATAAATGAATGAAAAAAAACGTTGGAAAGTGAACAGTACGTAGAATTATGTCATAGGCAAAATATTTAGCGCGATTAACGGCTTTGCGTAGATTCCATTGAACGCACTATGCACAACTTGAGTATGAGTGAGGGCCAGAAAGGGAGAAAGGATAGATAGATAGATAGATAGATAGATAGATAGATAGATAGATAGATAGATAGATGGATAGATGGATTGATAGGTAGATACAGAGAGACAGAGAGAGAGAGAGAGAGAGAGAGAGAGACAGTATGAATGAATTCTTTTGTATTAAGAAATTTTGCATTGACTTTTCTAACAAATATATGAAGATTTTTTATTTATACGATATTTAACTGATCGGTTTTATTGTACCAGAATATTATTAAGTATTCTAGCTGCATGCTTATTGAATAAAATGCTCGATAAGTAAAATTTAAAAATTTCACGGATAATGATATGGGTCATCTTACAAACAAATTATTACGATCATTTTATCGTTACGAATATAATGTTAAAGATTGTTGGACTTTGTAAACGTGCGGAAACGCCGCCAATTTAATGCTGCTACAAATACATGTTCTGCATATACACGACGAAGTATGTCTAAACTCTTAGCCACGTATTTCTGCCATCCGAGCTTGTGCGCGCATTTACCCTCTGTCTTTATGACTCTCTCTCTCTCTCTCTCTCTCTCTCTCTCTACCGCTTTTCTTACTTCGCACTTTCTTACTCTCTCTCTCTCTCTCTCACTCTCTCATTCTTTCGGGCCTTTGATGATTGGATCAGTATATCTTCACCTCTCTTTCGCCTGACCTGTTGTAAATGTACGGTTGGCCATCATCGTAGTCGTCGCGCTATCTGTTATCTGTCTTTCTCGCTCCGTCATCACCTTTCATCGGTGCATGCGTAAGAAAAAGCATGTGTCATGCCCTCGTGCCACGATCCAAGGAGTGATCGGTTCATCGCACACAGCTGACTTACTGCTAATTCATTCGAAGCGGATCCTCTCACTGTTCCTAGTTCGCTCGACCCGTGTATACGTTTCTTAAGCAGCTCACTATTACTGTATATTTTGTTTTTCTTATACCATTAGCGAACTATCATCGGTTCGACAAACGAATGGCCTTAACTTCATAACTATGCAACAAAAGAATAAAAATATCAAATACGAATGACAGCAGGACTTTTTCTATAGTCATTCAATACAACCCGAATTTATATATATATATATATATATATATATATATATATATATTTATCTATACGATATAATTTATCTGTACAAAATTGTACTTAAACGGTACTTATATAAAAAGACTGAAAGCGCCGAGCTTCCTTTCAATTCTAATCTTATTTTAATTTGTCATATACATTATATTAGTTTCAAAACTGTCAACATGTATTGTGGAAATTGCCATCTTGATCGTCTATTGTTGTCTCTATAATCGTGACGCGATAGGCTAAAAGATCATTTGATGTAATATTCATCCATTAATATTTGATATATTACTGTTTTAAAATTCATTTTTAATTTATTTTTCATGCATAATATGAAATAATAATAACGTTCATTAAAATTTTAAGCAATTAATTGCTGATTTTAAAAGCAAAAATCAAATTCAACTAAATTATCGATGTAAAGTAAATTAAAGAGGATTAGACGTAAATCATTTTGAATTCGAATTTAGCGCTACATTAGGTCGCCGGTTGTCTGTAGATGTCTCTTACCGCGGAAAACAAACCATTTTCTCGTATGTACGTACACATGAGCAAGCGTATTTTAATGTACAATAGGAAGCGAGAGAGAAGGGACAATCTTAGACACGCCGCTCATTCGGTAGAGTGAGAAGTAGCAAGTCGTTGCAAGAAGTTAGAAAAGGATAAAAAGACGTCCGAACACTCGTAGCAATGTTAATATGTTGCGAGTTTAGGTGTGAATACCGAATGGAGTCGAGTGCACTCGAATCTCTCCGACGAAAGCGGTGAAAAAGTAAGAGATAGCGAGCGAACTGTCGGTGGGGGAGGCTGCGAGGGTAGGGAGGAGAGAAAAGGAAGAGAGAGAGAGAGAGAGAGAGAGAGAGAGGGAAGGCAGCATTGCGCGGGACGTAGAGAGAGAAAGGGAGAGTAATTGTGTATATCAGGCATACAAGAGTAGCGCGGGCGCGCGCAACATACACAGTAGAAAAACATGCATGCATACACACCAGGCCCGCACACACGCAAAGTTCCACGGGAGCCCCAGAATGCATTGAGCCACGGCATGTGCCTTTGGTGCGTCGGCCATCTTGTAGTTTCCTTGAGGAAATCGTGTTGAGAGTTGGTTTTTTCGTTCATCGGCAAGAATTTTGCATACGCCCGCTACGGAACGTCACGACGATTAAAGGAACAGGCTGCGGGGGAGGGCCGCGGCATCGCGTCGCGTCGTCCGCGCGTGTCCTAGAACACGCGCGAATCGAAAGCCGCGGGCTACTCTCGCCCGCTTTTTGCTCTTTTTCTTTCTCTCACTGCTAGCAGATACATTGCTACATTGCCGATCTCCCCCGCACGCGTGTGCCTATAACCACGAGAGTCGATCGCGAGCAACTCGTCAGCACCCCGTGAGTGCGCGATTATCCTCTCCAAGTGGCTACTACTACCGCTGTTGCCGCCGCCGCCGCCGCCGCCGCCGCCGCCGCCGCCACCTGAAGTGAATGAATGGCCTGTATCACGGGTTAATATTCGCGTCGTGACGTATGACGCGCTGCCGCTCCGAGACAAATCCCTTATATATATCATCGCTCCGGCCCGGGGTCTGCCTGGCGTTACTGCCGCCGCCGCCACCGCTGCTGTTGCTGTTGCTGTTGCTGTTAATGCTGCTGTTGTCGCTGCTGCCATCCGTCCGTCATCTCCCTCTGTCTCTATCTCTCCTTTTAGTCCATACGTTCCATCGTTTGTGTAGTGCTCGTTCTTTCGGGCCTCGGCTCCTCACCTCGTGTCTGCACGTTGCCGTTGCCGCTGTCGTCGTCGCCGCCGCCGCCACCACCACCGTCGCTACCGCCGTTGCTACTGCTGCTGTTGCTGCTGCTGCTGCTGCTGCTGCTGCTGCTGTCGCTGCTGCTGTTGCTGCTGCTGTTGCTGCTGTTGCTGCTGTTGCTGTTACATTACTCTAATCTCCGTCAAAAAGCGAGACTAACCGAGCAAGATAGAGAGGGAGATAGAGCAGCGGTCACACTCTGTTCGTCGTCATCATCATCGGAAAAAGGGTGTCCTGAGGAGAAGGAAGGATTATTACAGCAGCAGCAGGTACGCGGGTGTAACGGCAAGCAGAGAGAGAGAGAGAGAGTGAGTGAGTGAGTGAGTGAGTGAGTGAGTGGAGTGCCGACGACGAAGAGAGGAGGCGTCTTTTCCGTACTAGCCGCCACGAGGCCTGACAAGCCGAAATACATGCGAACATAGGGTGGCTGTGCCTGCTCTTGGTGGCACGTCGTCGGCCAAATACTTGGAGGTGTGCGTGCCGTATACGTATGCATATATATATATATATAGATACGTACATATATGCGTATGTATATATATATAGATATCTATATTATGCATACGTACTTGCACATATATTTATAAATAAATACAAATGCATGTACGAGCATGAATAATTATATACATGCTTACATCTCTAAAGTATTTATATTTATAAGTATACATCTGCGTATAATATGTAGCATATATAATTCGTGCGATATATATCTCGCTCCGTCATTCTCTCTCTCTCTCTCTCTCCCTCTCTCGTCCGTTTGTCCGTGCGTCCATGCGTCTGTCTGTCTGTCCATTACTGCCTCAATCCCTCCCACCCTTCCCCCTCTTCGTTTTGCTCTTTTTCACCAATATAGTACACTAGAAAGATTCGACGGATCCTCCTCGTTCCGTCCTTTTGTAACGATAAAAAAAAAATAAGTAAAAAAACTTAAAAAAAAAGGGAAAAACATCTTGGAGTTTTGGTCGTGTCAAGTCAATCGCGAGTGCCTATCCGTCGTGTCTCCCGTGCATGACTGTCGGTGTGTTCCCGTCTCTGTTCCTCGCTCGTCGTTGAGTCGCAAGTCGTCCGCAGAGTGCGAGGATATCCGTATGCACGTTTGTCAGTTCTCGACAGTCGACTCGGTGGCTCGTGCGCGACGTTCATCTCCCGTCTTTCGCATAACCCGGCCGCGGTCTCGCTCTATATTTGGCCAGTCGCCCACCAACATATTGCACGGCTCCTCGCCGAGTCTTGCTTGCAAAAATCCTGGACGAGGGCGCGTTTCGCCTCTCGCTCTCACTCTCGCTCGCTAGTACACAGCAGTGCGCCCGTCTCTCTCGCGCCACTTGTGTATGTGTACGTGTGTTGCGAGAAAAGAGATAGAAGGAAAAAGACAGCGCACGCCAAGAGGCGCGCACCGCAACTGCCATACGGTTTGGCTGAGCTCGGCATGTGGCACGTCCGCGACATCGCTTCTCGTCCGGGATGAACCTGCTAAACGCATAGAAAGTTGTGCTTTGACGCTCGGGAGCGTAGCTCGAGTGCCCGAGACCCACTGGCCAACACGCGAGAACAGCCTCTCACTCTGCTCTCCTTCTCGTGCACGGACAGTGTCGTAGTGCGATTGACGGCGCGACGACTTTCCGATATAGTGTTAATAAGTGCCACTTCTTTGAGTTTCCCTGGTCCTCTTGACCGACTCGCGTTTTCAAAGCTGCCCAATTGCGTAAACGATCAAAGGACGCGTTGGACAGTTGCAATGCGCCATGTGATGACTCGCGTCTATTAAATTTTTTTTCATGCACTCGCTTAAAGGCATCGTTAATCGTTAGTTAAATCGACCGAATATTAAGGTGCAGTTATTGGATGTGCTCGTTCCGTAAGAATTATTGCAGCTTATATGATTAATTGCACCAAACATATGTTTATTTTTACACAATGATAATTCTAGGAAAGATTACATCACTCATCTCTGTATCTTGTTTCATTAAGAATTGAGAAGAGAGAAAATACAGTTTATTGGTGTTCAAGGACTTTTCATCTTCAGTAGTGTGTTTTTGTTCAATGTTTTAGAGCAAACCAATTAGGTCTATTGTTCTACAAAGGCTAGGTGTACATGAATGGGGACATTGGGAAGCTCCCACCAGGGGCGGGTTACCCAGCCACCCCTGATCCCTTGGCAACTGTCGGTAGTAACGTTCCTGGTCTAGACTATACCGTCATGAACGGAGGAGTGGCTGCTGGCGAACTAATGCTCGATACGGGCGTGGGTAATTTGGAGCCTTTACCCCAACTTGCTATAGGAATGGGTGGTGCGGTAGGCTATGCACCTGTTGAAATGGCTCCGCTCAGCGATGTCTCTGCACCTCCATCCCAAATGGGTGAACATTCTGGACCCAGTATGCCACTTGATCAATTGAAGCAAATGCTCTCTTCGCAACTTGAATATTACTTTTCCAGGTAAATCATCTTATTATCTAACATCTATATTTTCATTTGATCTTTTACACGATGTACCTAAATCTTTAGACCTTCATTAATTAACTGTGCACGCGTTATGGATAAAACTGACGCTTTAGTTTTTATATTATAATCTGCTTTATGCAAATAATATACCCACGATTACAGACTTACATTATAATAATAATCCATTTTTTTTATATATATTTAGAGTACATCGTTTACACATGCATATATATATATATATATATATATATATATATATATATATATATATATATATATATATACACAGAGAGAGAGAGAGGCATGTGTATGCAAAAATGTTATGTGAGTCAGAGTGTGCGCATATGTGTGTGCATGGGTATCGTTTACCAAAATACATCTTATGCTAATGAAAACTATACAACAAAAAATTATAATTACAATATGTTATATAAAATTTTATATTCGTATAAACACTATTATAGTTTAAATGCATTTAGCTTTGTATATTTATTATCTATTATAAGATGAAATCAAATTAAATTTTCATTAAAATATAGATACTATTCAACTTTTTACAAAGAGTTTACTCAATAATATATAGGTAAAATATGCCATTTGACAATATAATAATTCATTAAGCATATTATATTTTTTAATTACCAAATATATTTTTAAGAAGAAAATATTTGAAAAACGGGAATATTAAGGATTGTAATTGTAAGAATTATTTGGAATTAATCTTTTACTATTATTAGAAAATTACTATAAATTTATTCATATTATCTTACAAAACTTATTATTTTCTAATAAAAATTTTTATCTTCTTGAGGTAAATGAATCCATGATAATTTAGGCATAATAAAAATATTTCCATTCTATTATATTTTTGTTTACATTATAGAGAGAATTTAGCTAATGATACATATTTACTATCACAAATGGATAATGATCAATATGTACCAATATGGACGGTAGCAAACTTTAATCAAGTTAAAAAATTAACAAAAGATATAAAACTGATAACAGAGGTACTCAGGGAATCACCTAATGTGCAAGTTGATGAAGAAGGCCAAAAAGTTAGACCAAACCACAAACGATGTATTGTTATACTTCGCGAAATACCTGACAATACTCCACTTGAAGATGTAAAAGTAGGTTAATTGTTCTTAATATATTAAATAAATATATTTCTATATTACTGTTGTTATTTCAAATAATACTTATTATTAATAACATGTTATAGATGAAATAAAATTTTTGGTGTCTAAATTTTAAATTTTAAACCCCTTGATATTAGCAAACTATAAATGTTATATTTATAAATTTTAGAATTTATTCTCTGGGGAAGGTTGTCCAAGGTTTATTTCATGTGAATTTGCTCATAATAGTTCATGGTATGTGACATTTGAATCTGATGAAGATGCCCAAAAAGCCTACAGGTTTTTAAGAGAGGAAGTTCGAGAATTTCAGGTACTAGTTTGAGAGATCAAATTTTATTTAAACTAATTAGAATTATTAAATCATAATAAATTAATACTTAATAAGTATTTAAAGTATTATTGACGAATTACAATGTTGTTTATTTTATTTAACAAAGAGAATTAATTTAAAAATATTATATTTAATGAGTAAAAATTAAATATAAGCAATTGACTGCTTAATAAAAAAAAAAAAGAAATTATCATATATAAAAACAAATTTGTACAATGACAAATAATAGTATTATTTTCATATCTAAAGTAATTCAATGATAACGTTACACAAATATTTTTATTATTCAATTTCACTTTAGGGAAAGCCGATAATGGCTCGTATCAAAGCTAAACCAATGAATAGGCTACCGATACCGGCAGTTACAAATGTTGGAGGAATGAAAAATGGTTATAGAACACCACCTCCGCCACCAGTTTTTGATCCCAGTAGCTATCAGCCAGGACAACAACGCTTTCTCTACACAAATGGCACAACTATGCCACAAACTACGATGCCGCCATATCCAAATCAAGTGCATGTTTACGTATGCAATTTTTATCTGTTACTTGTTATAATCACAAGTTCACCACAAACATTTTATATATTATAAATAGTAATTATATTCCATGTCAATAATATTAGTTGAATCTTATATTTTAATATTTTTTATATAACGATAAAAAAAAAAGAATCTTTGCAACATTGATAACAACTATTTAAGAAATCATTTTAATTTCATTTGTAATTTAATTTAAGTTAGAATTTAAAGTTTAAAATAGAATTAAATTTTGATAGTTGTCATTTTGCTCAATAAATGTAATTAATTAGACAAAGTAAATTATTTAAACAAAGTTTTATACTTGAACCAATTTTTTTATATTTAATTTAAAAATTTTAAATATATGTTGTTAAATTGAATGGTTATTACATTTTATTTATTAAAATATATATAATAGATTTATATGTGCAGTTTATTAATACTGTTGTAAGAAATAATGTGAATCATCTCAAATTTTAACTTATATTAATAGAAATTTTATAATAATACTCATATTAATGTAAATCATTACCAATTTATCTAAAATTTTAATATGTTTATTATTTAGCAACCATTTTATCCCGCGGGCATGATGCCCTGGGGTCCAGCCAGTCCAGCTTATTATGATGTAACTAGCGTCTTTGCCATGAATGGAATTGCTTCTCATAGTTCATTCAAACCACATAACACAAGATACAATCAACGAAACAGGTAAATATTGTTCTCGTGTATAGTTTAAAATTTTATTTTATGATGAAAAAATTGATTTATAATACTTTATCTGTTAATATTTTATTATATATATATGCAATAAATTTGTTGAACATTATCTTCACTGAGATAATTATAATTTTTTTTTTTTATAGTAAGAACAGTTGGTTAATAATAATTGTAAAACATAAATATAAACTAATAAAAGTAGTAATTATAATCGTTTCAACATTTCAAAAACTAATTTTGCTCTTGAAATTAATATAGCGATATTGGTTTGCACTATTAGTATTCAAATAGAATAATGTAAAATATTTTAGAAGTTGTATGCAGAAAGTTATTAAGTTTAACTGGATATAAAAATATTTCTGACTTGATGATTAACAATTAGATTAATTGAATGAAGAGTTAGTACGAATAGTATATTTTATAAAGAAATTTAATTTAGAAATCTATAGGTTTGAATTTAATTAGATGATTGGATACGTTTTTTCGTACAATAAAGAAAAAAATATCTTCCGTTAATAACTTTACATTCATTTTATAGATTATCGATTTCTTTTAAAATATTAAAAATATTATTGATTATAATTTGATGGCATACCATTTTATTAATGCGATTTATGTTTTGTGTAGTAACACTTATTCTAGAAATAAGCAGCGTAACGGTTCTGAAAGAAGCGGTCTAATGGAAGGCGGAGGTAATATGGTACCGTTGGCTAGAACCTCGCATCCTCCATTGAGTGGAGGACCCGTAACTATAGGAGTGGCAGCGCCAACTCTCCCGAATATCTTACCTAGTGCAAAACCAATATCTTCTTCCTATCCAGTTGGCACAAAGTTTCAGCCCTCCCATACACCAAATGTTATTGGAGAGGCTCAATATTCAAGCAGTCACACAAATAAAGTATCGCAGGTAAATAAATTGTCATCGTCGATTGCTTCTCAATAAGTTTTATATTCAATTTAAATAAATTATTTTTCATATTTGTACTATAATGCTATAGCCTGTGTTGCATAATATATGTTACATTATTTATGATAAAAACGTATGTAAATAATAATTCCACGGAAACATTCACGTATGTGTATTTAAATATTGTCGATAAATGAATAATTACAATTTATTTCTAATTAAATTATAATTTTATGGATTAACCTTACTATATGATAACTAATGCAAAAATATGTAAGAACTTTTACATTATTTTGTTTTTATTTAAGTTTAGAGCATTTTAAAATTTTAATTAAACATCGGATATAAATAATTTTTAGAAAACAATTTCATAAGAATTCAGATGAGGTTAACTATTATGGGTTTTTTGTAATTTGTAATTAGAGAAATAACGAGGATAAATAAAAAAATCTCATAAATGAAATTATAATAGTAAACATTAATTAACAATTTACAAATACAATTAATTAAAAATAAACTATGGCTATGATAATTTATATAATTATATACTAAAGAAATTATAATTTTGTAATGATAAATTAACAATGAATATAGAAAAATTAAATGAAATTGACGGTATCTTTTAAGTAATATTTAAAAACGTTAAATGTTGCGTTAACAACAGGAAAGCGATGGTCAAATTCAAGACTCAACGATCCAATTTACGCGTCATCGTACACACCGTAGAACCAAAGATCAGGAAGCGCTATCCAAGGCTAATAGCAGCAGTAATTCTCTACCGTCGATTAGAGAGGGTTCTAGTGGAACTAGTAACACTAGTGGTAGTAGCACACAACACAACCGAGGGGTACAATTCGATCTGGAGGCTGCGGCTTTTCCTCCATTACCCGGCCTCGATGTCAATACTTCAAAGCTCCATAATTCGTCCATTGAAGTCTTGAATTCTGAAACCACACAATCACAAAATAGGCTTTCTGACGTAGTAAAGGGTACTGCGAAGCTCAAGAGCACAAACAAAGATAAAGAGCAGCAGCAGCAACAACCGCCAACGGGAATCGTAGCATCACCTCCACAATATCATCATCACCAACAATATCATCAACATCAACAGCATCAGCACCATCACCATCACCTCCAACAACAGCAACAACAACAACAACAACCGCATCAGCATCATCCACATCATCATCAACAACAGCACCAACATCAGCATCAGCATCAACACCAACATCAGCACCAGCAACACCACCATCATCATCAAGCGTTAGTGAGCAGCCACAATAGCAGGTCGACAAGTCCTGGAGGTCATCAACATCATCACCGAGTAAACCCAGAAAATGCTGCTATCGCTGCCGCAGCAGCAGCGGCTACTGCTGCTGCTACTGCTGCTGCTACTGCTGGTGGTGCAACAACTGTAACTTTATCACCAACAGTGGCAGTACCCACAAATCCCAATACTCTACCAATTGCTAGCAACAACGGCGATTCGGACGTCGCCCTCGGCACCGTCACGCTCACTCCTCCGTCATCTCCCGATAAGTGAGTGCGATTATTTTAAATTATTTACACATTCAGTTTAGAGACATAGCACGTGCGTGCATGTGTTTTTTTCCTTTTATTTCTTTTCATTTTTTACTATAGTAGATGCAAAAAATCAATCTTTTATTATTAAATCTTTATAAAGTGAGAAAATTGAAAAATGAAATAAATATTAATTTGTTTATGTAATTATATAAAAATAAATATTTCAAGCGAATGTATACTGAAAAAAATATGTTATTATTTCAATGAGGAGTTTTTAACTTAATTTAATAATGATCGTGATTTCAAACATATTTCAACATCTTATAAAATCCAAATATATTAACTCTAAATAATATTTGTTACTTTTATATATTTTTAAACTGTATTCGTAATTTTCTGTTTATTATATAAAGCACCAATTATTTTTTACAAACAATAATTGATTTAATTTTTTAAACTAATACAACATTCTTAAAAAACTGTAATAGTAATTTCAAATTTTTAAAATCAATGGACTTTTTACAATGAGTGAGAGAGATAGAGACATAATATACACTTTTATTTTATAAATTCTATTTCTCTTTTCCGTCTTTTTGTTCTTTTTTCCAATATTATTAAAACAAAACTACTGTTTAGTTTAATTTTCTTTAACTTTAATGTCATAACTTCAATTCTTTTTGTCTCCGCATTAGTGTTATTGGTCTGAACAAATCAGCTATAAGTAAATTGATTTTTATGAATTGTACTGTCAAAAAGTCTCTATGTTGCAATAATAGACTTACAAGTATGTTATATATCTAAATACATGTAGTTATGTGTTACATAATTATAATTTTAAGTTAACAGCTATTTTATATTATTTAATTCGTTTAATTTTTATATTAATTAATTGATTCATTAATTAAAAACTCTTTAAGTTGCTTTTTAATCTGTAAAGTTTATATACTGCTGTTCTATATTGAAAGGTTATGCTAATTTTTAAATATTAGAATTTTATATTAAATAAAATATTAAATTAACGATCAACGGGTTTAATAAGGTTTAAAAAAATTTATTATTATATTAAAGTTAATTGATTACAGATATATTAATTCTGAATTAATTTCGAAAAAATTTGTCAAGTCCAAAATTATTCATTTTTTCTCTTTTTGCACATATAAAGATTTATGTCGATATATATTTTGCATACTTATTGCACAAAAATATTACTGTAGAATGATAGATTTGAGAGCACATAGTATAAAGCCTAGGAAATATTAAATTGTTACGACTGCTAATTGTATTATACGTTGAATTTTGTAAACTGGATAAATATGTCATTATATAGTCGTTAAGTTCCATCCACTTATATTTTTATTCTTATATAAATAAATTAAAATAGAGTACGTAAAAAATAAATCCATTATGCAGATTGATTTAAAATGATATTGTAATACATCTAAATTTTAGATGCTCATTTCTTTTAAATCTATTAAATGTTTGAAAAAAAGCGCAAAAAAAAACAAAAACAAAAAAAACACGCTGTCAAATTTCTTACAATAAATTCATTATACAATTACAATTGAAATCAGATAGTGCAAATACTTTTACATAAAATATTCTTTTTTCTTCACATTTATAAATTTCTTTTATTTTCTTTAGTATTTTATTTTAAATGCATAGTGCATTTTGTCAATTTATTTTATATTTTTAAGATTTTTTTTTAAAGGTAACTAAAGTCTGAATCCAAATAAAAGGTGTATTTTAAAGAAAATTTTTTACTCAATTATTGAAGAACCCTCGGATTCATAAATTTCATAGATATCATTGATTCAAGTAAAAAACAACGCGATTTTAGTCTTCATAAGACGTAATCAAACCTCTCGCTATATACTCAAAGCACTTGTTGTTACTACTACCTCTATTATTACCATCACCATTATCATTACCATCACTATTACTACTACTACTTCTACTACTACCACCACTACACTACTTCTACTACTTCTACCACTACTAATACTACTACTACTCCTATTACTATTACTACTACTACTGCTACTCCTATTACTACTACTATTATTACTACTACTATTACTACTACTACTATCATTACTACTACTATTACTACTACTACTATATCCAAATAAAAGGTGTATTTTAAAGAAAATTTTTTACTCAATTATTGAAGAACCCTCGGATTCATAAATTTCATAGATATCATTGATTCAAGTAAAAAACAACGCGATTTTAGTCTTCATAAGACGTAATCAAACCTCTCGCTATATACTCAAAGCACTTGTTGTTACTACTACCTCTATTATTACCATCACCATTATCATTACCATCACTATTACTACTACTACTTCTACTACTACCACCACTACACTACTTCTACTACTACTACTACTACTACTACTACTACTACTCCTATTGCAACTACTACTATTTGCTAATGAAATTAAACAGTGTATATTCGAATTTGGCGAGTCCCTGTTCCTCCTAAGGCCAATCTTATAATTATTTTGTATTATCATTTTAATAAAATATTTTGCATGCATGCATATTTTCTTTGCATGACAGTGACAGTTTTAAGGGTACCTATACCATTAATACTTTAATATAAATTTTATTTTATCCTATTTTTTAAATTGTAAACAACTACTTGTGTACAAGCACACTGTTAGATAAACTTTCGCGATAGTAAATAGGTAATATGAAAATATGAAAATAGGTATCGGTTCTCTTAAAAAGGAATGTAGGTTTTTGCTAATGTCAAATCACAAAACGAAACAAAAATTAAAAACAAACAAAATAAACAAAAACCAAAAATATTCCACGTACGCTCAGATTTAGTTCTTTATTACTGAAATGCACCGCTGACAGATCTATAAAGACTGACGATTCGAACATGGTGAATGGCGTGGACGAGGCCATAAGTACAAATGCAAAAGTGGCAGCAAACACAGTTGGGACTGAAGATACTGAATCGGTAACCAGGTGCGATTGTGACAACATCCCTACCCAGAATACCCAGTCACATACTGGAGGGTCATCATCCTATCCAACGGTAAGTCTTCCTATACATATGGTTTCTTTCTTTTTTCCTCTTTCCTCACTCTCGGACTCAAGAAATTTGACAGCGAATTTCGCCTTCAGCACGAATGTGTTAGTAAAATACTTATTATTATTATCTTCTTTATCTTTGTAATTAAGCTTTATTATTTAATTTGATATTTTATTTGCAATCTCAGGCATGCTTTTATGTTGTTGAATATGTTATGAATATTCAAAGCTAAAGCGACTCGTTTTTATTATGATGGTGGATGATGGATATACTAATTAAAATGTTCCAGTAATGCTTATGTTAAATAAAAGACAATTTATATTATAGAATGAGTTTTATTTTGGAAGATTCGGTAAATCCATGCATACTAACGTATAAACTTTCGATAGGACTGCTTTAGTGTACATGGAATTTTATAAGTATAATCTTTTAAAATAATGTATATGAAATCAAATATAGTTTTCTCCGTTTCTATACAAAATATCTATGCTACGGTATACAATAATTACTGTTTAGAATACGATTTTTCTCCAAATATCGTAATTTTATATGGGTAAAAATTTATCTTAAATAATTTAAAAACATTTTTGTAAGTCGATGAATTAAATATCATTCGTATGGTGATTTCAAATCAATCTCAAAATATCACAATAAGTGTAATGGCTTTTTAACGTAATAATTGCAATAACAATAAATGAATATATTTTTCTTTGATATTATAGGACATTACGAGGCCGAGCTATGCCCAAGTAGCTCAGCACTGTCGTGAGCTACCGTGTACAAAACACAAAAACGACGAAAGGGACGGAAGCACGTAAAAGGACATGTGAGTAATGATGAAAGACAAATCCGGCATCTACGGTTTTCATGCATACTGTTTTTATGCTCTTGCGAAGCTGCTGTCGATCGACATTTCTGTACTAATGAGCCATCAAGCAGCGAAGCTTATGAAAATTGTTCATTATTGAAAACTGAAGAAAAGTACACTGTGTATTAAGTTACTCTGATACATTGTTAAAATCTTTGCAGATATACTACTGCATTTGAATATCGATATTTAAAAGCAGTTACCACAAATCGCTTGGCTACTGTGCCGAGCCGAAGATTTAAGTTGATAATCGCCTGCTTTTCCTCTTATCGAGCGCCAAACAAAAAAAAAATAAAATAAAATAAAATGAATAAGAGCGTTCGTGCGTAACAGGCAAAAACTTTTTACATTGTACAGTGATTTCGCCTATGCTGAATACATGGTATTGACGGACAGAAACAAAACAAACAAAAAAAAGATATTTAGATTAGAGAACAAGATTTTCGACTAGAAAAGAAAATGATAGAGAGAAAGACAGAGAATGACAGATAGAGAGAGAGAGAGAGATAAATTAATAATGTCTCTACGTTCTAGAGAGAATTATTGTTTCGCTGAAAAGATAATACCAACATATAGTAGGAGAAAATATTGTTATTGCTTTGGTTCTGTGATTTTGGAGGTACATATTCGTTAGCTTGTAAAAACGTTAAACTAAGATGTTATAACTTTTAATTCCTTTCTTCAACTTCCCTTTAAACCTAACCATGGCGCAGGGCTGTAACTCAGAAAGTGTTTATTCTTGTGCCAAACCTTTACACATGTGTATACATATGCATACGCATGCATACATATATAGGTACACCCATATATATATATATATATATATATATATATATATATGAAGATGGATATATATATGCACGTGTGTATTTATGTGTATGCATGTCAGGCTCTTTGAGCGAAGCGAGCATCATTCAAAATGCAACGAATTTCTCTAATTTGAATTTGCTTTTATTTAGTGAAAAGTGAAAAAATTAATTTAGCGTGATTAAAAAACAGCATAATTTTCGCTCGCAAATTGAATTAACACTATTTGTGAAAACTTTTTCACCTTGCTTGTTTTCCCTTTTAATAATTAATAAAATACTGCATGTCATTGTTTCGTGCAAGTTCAAAATGTATTTTCCAGAATATTGATCAGCTCTGATAATTTTCATTTAAATAAATAAGATTGTGTGGTTATACCGCAGTGCGTGAATAAAATCTAACTAATTCAAAGTTATAATTTTATCTAATGTTTTTTAAATTAACACTATTGTATTTACATCATCAAATATTACTGAGAAATTATTTTTGCCGACATTAAAAATGAGGTCGATTAAAGAGGAGAAAATAATTTTATCATTTATATTTAAACTATAGCGATTAAAGTTAATGCAAATATAAAGAATAAAAATATAACAAAAAAATGTATATAAGTAAAATAAGAATAATAATAAAAATTATGGCTATATGAAACAGGCTCCAAATTCGTACAATGTCATCAATGTTCTAAGAATACAAACTAGTCTGTATAGAAAAGCTTTAAAATTCGGAAAAGATAAGCGAAGACCTAAAAAAATAAGTGTAAAGCAGTTTCTAAATTAATATTAATTTATTCTAAACATCTGAGAAATTTATAAGAACGATGAACGTTTAAAAATATATGGGATTGAATTTACTAAAATAATTAGTAATAAAATATATAAACATCGATATTCTGGAAAATATTAGCACGCAAATGTCGATTTGTTCGGAATTTTTGTTTTCGAAACAAAACGGCTAGTCACCAAATCCTTATAATCCTTAATATTGTTCATCATTAATACTGTTTATAAGATCCAAAAAAAAAAAAAAAAAAAAAATAACATGATAAAGATCTTTTTTTAATCCTATATTTGTTAAAAAAGATAACATGCAATTTAGAAATATGCTTTGATAAAATGAAAAAAAATTAAAAGTCAAATTATTAAAAAAAAAAAAACAAAAAAAAATAAAAAAAAAGATAAAGAAAAATGAGAAAAAATGGTATTTGAGCACACAAATAAGTGCCTCAAGTGTTGTGTACATTACAGGAGCTTGGCTTTACATGTTATACAGCTATATGTACCTATACATTATAATAAAAAAAACGCATATGATATATTTGTTACAAATATGCGTACTGAATTGAGGTAATGGATGCTAAACAAAAAATACAAAAAATCAATTAGTAATAAAAACCAATCTCCTGAAAAAAAATTATAAGATTATTGACGTATGTAATTATTATAAGGATTATCACATAAATAATTAACGTCCTTATTATAAATATTATTATCTTATTAATCTAAGTTAGCGATTGCTGCCTTTTAATTTTTTACGATTTCACAATATTGGTTTCGTTGCAATCTTGTTAACATAAAAGATTTAAAAAGAGAGAGAGAAATTCAGAAAATTTAGAAATTATCAGCTGATCAATTTATGTATATATGTTTCTAATTACGTATATTATATAAATTTATCGGTATGTATTTTGGGTAATACTTAGTTTGGACTGCGTTGATATTTCAATTTTGTTATCTTTTTAGCAATAAAGCAAAAATGGTACGTAATATTATTAATCAAGAACGAAAAATAAATAAAGATTCAAAAAATAGTTCTTAATATGCCGATATTTTCGTTTTATTGACAGACAGTGAAGTTATATTTGATTTTAAACATCAAAAAGATCGTTTCACCCGTCGACATGTGTAAGATCCAGCTGTACATATAATAAATATATATACAAAAGAAAATTAAACAATTATTAAGAGATGGAATAAGTATAATTATCGGCAAATATTATTGGTCTTCCTTATTAATTCAATGATCCACATAATTCACCTTCCACGAGTGAAACGAGCTCAGATGAGTTGTTACATTATATATACGAAAATATGAAGGTTTTTGTTTCTTTTTGTTCTTTTTTTTTATTATTTTTTCTTCGACCGTTCCGTTCGAAGTTAATTGTTAAGAAGATAAAAATTATGAATTGTAGAAATTAATTATTTACGCGCATCCGAAACATTTTAGAGGTTTTCTTCTAATTTTGCCTTACAATGTAAATTAAAAACGAGTTTTTCGATATAGATGCGAGATTGCTAAATAAGAGAAAAATAATTGTATTTTAGAAGCGTTTGTAAAATTTTTTTGTGTACAAAAGTTTTTGCGATCTTTTGTTCAACATTTTTTCATTGAGAAAAAAAATATTTTATTCGCTCGGTATTTTCAATGATATCGATATGTGAGTGATTATCCAATAAAAAAAACCTACAAAATTACATACATACACACACACACACACACACACAGTTATATATATATGGCAAATATGTTTAAAAAAAAAGAAGTTAATAGTAATTGTCAATTTGCTCATTATGTAAATGTCACTTTCGCACGATCTTGCATTATAACGAAGAATTGTCCTTTTGTCATTAGAAAATTTGCATTTCTCTTATAACAAATTAAGTGTGATAAATGCTCTGTCATTAAAACACAGCAACGCATATGTGTGTTAAAGCTGATGTGCACACGGAAAAGAATTACTCGAAATTAGAAAATTCTCATCCAATACATTTATCTAAAATGTGATTTTACATCATTATAACGTCTATTCAATAATGTTTAATTTTATAACTTTGACTACATTTTTTTTTTTATTCAAAATTATTTTCTTAGTTTTAAATTGATTTATTATATATTTAAAAAATAATAATTCATGTTTTAACAATTGATTATTCATAGAAAGTAATTTTAATGAAAATTACATTATCAATTGTAGCACATTTTGTAATTTCAATTGATTTTTTTTTTTTTTTTTTTTTTTTTTTTTTTTTTTTTTTTTTTTTTTTTTTTTTTTTTGGCACATTTTTTTTTTTTTTTTTTTTTTTTTTTTTTTTTTTTTTTTTTTTTTTTTTTTTTTTTTTTTTTTTTTTTTTTTGTAAGGTACTAATTTATATTATCGAAAAAGATAAAGAAATACTATGATGAACCTCATAAACTCAAGTGCGATAATTACAGGTTATAACTGTACATCTTAAAATTTTAAGTATTTGAGTTGTTAATATTTCAATATTCATATATCAGTTTATTATTATTATTATTATTATTATTATTATTATTATTATTAAAAAAATGTAAGTGGCATTGATCGATTACTTTCCTTCTTGCCGTTTTGTCTTATTTTGTTTTTTCTAGTATAATTTTTATTTTGCGATAGTACACTCTTCGATTGAAGTGTACTACAATGTGTTTGTAAAAAGAAACTATCACATATGCATTTTATCGACATACGTTACTATTTCTATCGTTCAAACACAATATATGTATTTGGGCAGCCGCTGCAATTATGACATGTAAAGTATGTAATAAAAAGTAATTACTGACGATATACCATTGCCTTGGATCCAATCGCTTATTAAATCTAGCGACGTATAATTTAAGAATATTATATGTATGAAATAAGATAATCTTTTGATGATTTAATACAGTCACAAAATTTGTGTCTATTATATGTACAAATAATGAAAGTGATAATTATCAATACAATATTAAGAAAAGTTTCTGATAAATTTGATTACATAAAAAGTATATACAATATAGAAAATTGAGACAAAAATAATTAGTCATTAAGTAAAAAAGAGTAGAGGCTCGCTGAAAGCATAAAAATAACTGTCACATGAAGATCCAAGGTACGTGGACACGTAGTATCGAATCAAATAGAGTTTAAGGGTTTTGCTAAGTTTAATTAAAAATACACATTAGAGTTTCTTTTCGAACTTACCAAATCATCGACAATTTTATCGCAAAACGATAAAATCGCTAAGTCAAAATGTAGTTAGTGAATGTTATTATTTATACTTTTTGTTTTTCGAAATTTGTAATGAATTTATCTAAGGCCCTGGAGAGAAAATATATAGCGATAAATTGAGCAAAGAGAATACGTGAAAAGTGATATGATCATTAAAGTAATATGACTCAAATAATATTTAATTTATTCACGATCAAATCAGCATATACTGTGATCAGTTTGAAGTATCCTTACTTCTCCGTGCAAAAATTTAATATGTAATAATACACATGGTGTAAACATTATACACGTAAACTCGCAAATGCAAAAAAATTTGAAACAAAATAAATACAAAAAAATGAATAATAACATTAGCGCAATGTAAAATGTACTCCGATTCACATAGGCTATAAAAAGCCTAGAAAGTCTGATTTTTTAACTATTAACAAGGATTGTAAATAATAAGATGGTCTACGATATTTGTTTATTAATACATGTAAAACAAAAGTTTCAAAATTAAACAATGGTGTAATTACTGTTACCGGGTTTTAGCTTTTATTATAGTTTACCGCAGAGCTGGGTCCCAGTAATTATTTGTCTTAACTTTTAATATTTATTTAAACATGATTGATTTTGTAAAATTGTTATAATAATAATAATAATATAGAATAGATAGTTTATTAAGATTGCTGGATGGATATACACTATCGAAACATTCTTATTTCAAAAAAAAAATATATCATTCATTGTAAACTATTTTAAAAAGTATTCATACTTTATAGTTTATGAATCATTTAGAAATTATATTTATATGAAAATAAAGATTTTAATATTATGCAAACATTTTGGTCAATGCAATCATCATGATTTTATATCTAACTAAAGTAAAAAAAAAAGAAGAAGAAAAAAAAGAAAGAAAGAAAGAATGATGAAATAAATATTAAATTGTTATATAATTTATTGATTACGCAAATTGTATACAAGATGCATATAACTGATTAATTATTTTAATCAATTAATTGCGGA